TTGATCGGCCTTTGAATGAGATTTGTTGTTTTAAATTACCAAGTAGTAGAATGAGTTGATATTCTTGCTACCCCGGTTTTCAAAAATCCAGGCATATTTATTTCACACATTATATTCCACTTTCCTGCTCTCCGTGATTTACTAACCCACCATCTTTTCCTACAAATTACCATTTCACAGTTGTGGGCTTTAATTTGTACCCTAGACCACACTCGTACCCAGTCGCTATTTAAGTGTTTTTGGGGGTGAGAGAAGATTGGGGATTACGTTGAGGCGCGCTCGGGGTCTCATGGGAAGGGAAGAAGGAAAAATAGCGACTGGCAGATTTCGTTTCACGCGATGTAAATAATGCCTTAAATGAAGGGAAATTAGCTTGCCAACACCGTAGTTGTACCGTAAATAATATCTTCGCAGCAACGTCAGAGTACCCGACCGCAAACTTCCGTGTCAAGTTTAGCGATAGTTATCTTCTATAAAACTGACGGTATTTTTAAATCATATGGTGTATGGTTCGGTCGCCCGGGTTTCTCTTTGGATGCCGCACGCGTTTATTCAAACAAGCTTCATGGCGAGGAAGCAAGGGCCATCCTGGAACACATTTATCACCACAGTGTCATGAAGGTAGAAATTCAAGTAATAATGCCGTCCTATATTGATCTGGTTGATCCTACAATTCTATAAAACTTGTCTGTTAATAAGGCTATTATCATTTTTATTTTCTGTTAAATAAAAGTATGGTCGACCCATCGTTTGTGGAAATGACTTCCATTAACCAACCATTAATTAAATATACAGATCAAAATTATAGCGGAGACACTGAGGAAAGCTGCAAAGGTTATGAGGTCTTGTTTCCTTTTCTTAAGCTTGTGCTAGTTTCTTTTTTTGTAGTTCAGCAGAATTCAGCAGAGACAGAGTATTCCAAAAAGTCATCTTGAGGTTCAGTAAATGAATACATGTCAAGAGACATCAAACTCATATTTTTACTACGCTAGGCTGAATAGTAAAAGAAAGGAAAAGGGTTTGTCATTTTTTTTAATAGAAACTTCTCATGACAAGTTTAATGACCACACAACAGTTTAATTACCAAAACAGTAGTTCATAAACAACTGACAAACCCAAGGATCAAGAGTAAAATTATTCCATTTTTTGCCTTCTGGGAAAAGTGGAATAGGGAGTAAAGGCGAGCCTAACTTAAATTTCTAGCTGTATGTAAACTACACAAAACTACTTCATACATTATCCATTGTTAAACATTGGGCTTTGCAACAATGGCATCGGGACATTATAAATGCAGCCATTTCATCACCATTGGTTACTCTTCATGATAGTCCATGTTCGTGATTAAAGCCTCTCATTTATTATTTCTTACATCTCTTGCTTGGTTTTAAATAGAATTGGTTTTGGGCTCGCAGTTTTTAATTACTTTTCAAAATTTCAATATTAATTATTGTACATATTTTCCACTTGTTGAAGTATTTATGACTTTATTAGCTGTTTAACCCTTCAGTGGGAGACATAGCTACTGTTTAAGGTTTTCTCGTCACTACTTGTAGTCTTTTGTATAATTTGGCCCAAGTATTAACGTAAAAGTACCTAAATAATTAAAATCATTGTTCTTTTTCATGATCTTTTTTTGGTCTGGCATGTTCCTATTTCCCTGTAAATGGCCATTTAGAAGAATTTTTAGGGAGTGTTCCAAGGTTATTTTTTGCTAACCTAGTTTTAGATGAAAGGGGTTGGGTGTTTTGCTGCTTATTAATAGTTTAAAATTTTTCAAGAAAATGAAAATTTTCACGTTGAATAAATTATTTTGTAGCTTGACTTGGTCAGCCAAGCAGTCTTACCTGTAGCTGGGCAGCCACCCGCTTGGGTGACATTTTTTTTTTTCGTTTCCTCTGTCTCTTTCTTGAGGGCCATTTAATTGGATATTAACTTACCCCCCCACCATTTCCTGAAAAATTCAGCTTGCTTTCTCTTCAGTCTCTATAGGAATCAAATCACCTCTCACTTCCAACATTTTTTCTTGCGATAACTGAAAATGTGGAGGACCCCAACCAGTTTTTTTGTAATTTTTTTATGACCACTGATGTAATTTATTATTCATTCAAAATATTTGCCCGATTCTGATTGGCTAAAAGCACACACATAGTTTGAAGGAATTTTGCGTTAAATGAACTGATGGCGTCAAAAGTGCAGTGTTCTTGCAGGTTAAGGCACCGTTACCGAGAAAACCTGGGGATGAGGTTGAGTTGTTTTAATTGTGAAAACAACAATGGCGAAACATTCTGCGTAACATTTTACTCGTTTCACGACGATTTATTGTCTAAAAACATAGCAAGAAGACAACTCGACGGACAAAATCTGCTATTTGGAGCTATTTGGAGTATATTTTGGAGACCTGAACAACCCTTTCTTTTCATCGAAGAAGGTAAACATGTTTTAGCTTGTTTTTAAACTAGGAATTATTTTGAATGAATTATAAAGCAATTAATGAATTTGGCTTTCGTAGGATATGAAGAATTAGACAGCCTACTCAGCCTCCTCATTAATTGGTAAAAAAAAATGATGAGCTCATCCGTAACAAACAATAAGCATTCCATGCTGACAAAATTTGAAAGTCTTGTTTCATCAGGAGCTCAGAAGGTAAGCAAGGAAATAGGTCAAGGGGTGGGGAGGGGGAATATAGAATTATTATGGAGGGAAGAAAAAAGGAGAGGCACATAAAATAACTAGACCTATTTCCACACGTTTCAATGCCATTGATGGTACTTGCCTGGCCTCTCATGACCAACGTAAAATACAAGGGCAACTTTATAAAAGGGTTAGGAAAGAAATAATGTGATATTACTTTCATCATTTACTTAGAGAGGGGATTTATTTATAAGGCTTTATGAATTAGCTGCTACTTTTGTAAGAAACAATGTTTTCTACTACAACAGTCAGGAGGAGAAATAGTAGTAAGAAAAGTTTAAAACTGCTAAAAGAATTAACTCAGGATGAAGAACTTGTTTTACCTGAGAGTGATAAGAACCTGGGTTGATCTCTAAACACACCCTTCTGGCTTCTATCAGAGGGTAGGCAAACTGGAAGATGTTAAAATTATTAGACAGAATGGTAGGTTCTCTTCACAGGTTTTTTTTTTAGAAAGTATAAAAGATTATTACAAAAGCTTCAACTTAGGAAACAATACACAACACTATGTTTTACCAAGCCTTAAATCTTCTACGAATAAAAGGTAAGAGATAACTAAGGAATTTTAAAAAATGTTAACAGGTAGGCTTACTGTAACTGGATAACTGGTTGTGTACCATTTTTTTTTGTCTTCTGAGTTCTTAAAAAGAGGAGATTTAGGTCAATTTTGAACAGATCTTAGTGAGAATGGTTTACCTTAAAGTCTATTTTAGGAAACAGTTATGAACCAGTGGGGGAGATAAAGGGAACTGATACCAGCTCTTGACGGTCATAAACTTTGTTTCAATTTATTTCAATAGTTGAAGATGCTTAATTATAACGCATCGAGGGAGCGTAAGCTTTAATACATAGTATCAGTGATAATGTAGAAGTAAACCTGATAGGGAGCTGCAATGACTGAAATTACTTTAATGTGGGTATTCTGAAAACAAATACTGAAGGTATTCCATCTCCTTCGTTTGGTATCTCGAGTAACTATTTTTTTTTCCCGTTAGCAGAAAAGATGAAAGTGCTGGCACATTTCCACTCTAGCAGACAGTTGATAGTATAAATTTCCTAATGCAAAAATATTCCTCTTCTTAACATATTCTTAAAAACATTCGACAGCTTATATTATACAGTGCAATAGGAATGCATTGGTGGGTAAATAATGAGATGGTTGAATGTTTTTTTTTTTTTTTAACAGCTTGATGCACTGAACACATGCTATTATGAAAATTGTACTGACTCTTTACAGAATCGTTGACGTCGTTGTGATCTTGAAAATCGAGCGTCTTTCTGCTAAGAATTTTTTCTTGGCTTAGGTGCAGCTTTCGACGAGGGAGTCAAGTCGTGTTTACATGTACCATGTTTCAAAAATGTTTCCTTGACGTCTGAAAAAATAGAAACCCTCCTTGCTGTTGTTGTTTTTTGGTTTCACTGGCGCACTGGTTTTTGGTTTCACTGCTAGCTGTTTTTATTGTTAATAATAAATAAATAAACGTCACAAAGGATACCGAGCAAAAAAAAATTACCAGAAAAGTGCCGTTACCTTTAAAAAAAAGACCTGCACGTCTCTATGAACATTACCGACCTTAAGTTAGGGTGGACGGTAAGGTGGAGGACGGCAACCGGAAATAAAAGTTGCCCGATTTGGGGCTAATTAGCATATATCTCAGCCGTGAGAAAGCTGAGTGCGGCGGTGTCTCGAGAACGTGAGTTTTTTATTTGTGTTTTCGTCTTCAAAACATCTTTATTTTAACAGAATACCGCTTTAATCTGTTTCTGGAGTGTCTAGTTTTCTTCAAAGGGTAAACCTTTTTTAATTACTTACTTAAACACTATTTTATGATTGGATATAACATGAGCTTGTGCAGCAAGTGGTACAACTGCAGGATTAGAATTCCCAGTGATAAAATAATCACATTCAAGTATTCTATCACCATCTGAACATCGGCTTTTACCCTTTTCATCATTCACGAAGTTTTTAGTTTACTTTTTCCGCTTAAGTTGTAGGCCAAAATGAAATTACGTGTTAATTGGTCGGTATTTGCACGTCCCTAGCGAACGAAATCTGCCAGTCGCTATTTTTCCTTCGTCCCTTCCCATGAGACCAACCCGCGCACCCCAAACTAACCCCCAATCTTCTCTCACCCCCAAAACACATAAATAGTGACTGGGTACAAGTCTGACCCTAGACTTGGAATGAGTGTGAGGCTGAGGATACATGAAAACCTCCCTTTTTTCTTATGTAAATTATGTTTGAAAAATTATTATACTAGTTAGCATAAGAAAACAAGATTTAGATAAAGGAGCAGAAATCTTATAGTTACAACAAAACAAGGTCCACTCCAGCCTCGTTTCCATCCATAACTGTAAAATGGTCTATTGAACTCGACTGAGCTACAATGGATCTCTAATTGTTTGTGTTTTGTTTTTTGTCTCTTCAGGGTCTTCTGGTTCGTATCAATATTCGACAAATACCTTCTTATACTCACTGAAAAACTACTACGGTTACGGATATTTTAAAAAGGACATAACCCAGGACTATCATACAGCCGCGTACAGCCGCTATGACTATTTTCCAACTTTTGGGCACCATGATATCTACATTGCAGACAATGCAGGATACAATACTAATTCTCGCTTCGCTCTTTGTCAGGCGTACCGCGGTTCCTATTGTGACAATTCTCAATGGGTTGGAACACGATATTTTTCTCCAAATGAGTTGGAGGTTTATTACGAAGTCCTTGCTTGAAACCGGGCGCCAACATAACAAAAGCAAAGCAAAAACAAAAAACAAAAACAACAGCCACACGAAAAACATCAACAAGCCAAAAAAAAAAAAGTAACAGCAAAAAAAGAATAAATAAATAAATCAGCTCTCCGTCTTTGACTATACTTTGCTCAATCAAAAAGAAAGCTACTATCTTTTTCATGATATTTTCAAAGTAACGCAACTCATGACAAAAAAAATGATTAGCAGCTAGCTTGTGCAAATTCGTTAAATTTGGAGCTTTTGCATTATCAATGTAAAAAAAATAGCAGAAGTTTTAGCAACAAATGAGTTGTTAAAGCACTGACAGCGGTTAGCCACAGCACTACTACTTATTCGCGATAGTGGAAATCCCTTCCAAAACGATTAAACACGGATAGATAGGCACAGGTAAGCTTGTAGATAGCTATAAAAAGTTTGCGTTCCCAGTTAAATATCCTTTTTTTTCTTGCTGAGCACAGATTAGTATTTTGCTCAGTATGACGCCCCATATTAGCCCTCTCTTTAATAATACAGATCCTTTTGTTTGCAATCTTGGCCACTTTATCCTTCTATGAGATTGAAGCTATTCAGTAATACTATTTTATGCTATTATTGTTTTTTGTTTTTACCTTTTTAAAGCAGCCAATGTTGTAATGGGCAATGTCATTTATTCTTGATTTAAATGCCAATAAATAGGTCTGGACTGAATTGTCCTAGCAGATTAAAGAGCCTCCACGAGCATGGATGAGTATGGTGTTCAATCTCCGCCGACAATCAACTTGAGTACTCGACATTCAACTTGAGCGGCTAAATTAAGTTATAGCCCCTAACTTTCAACTTCACGTTTCAACATTCAAAGTTCAACTCCTAACATTTAACATGATCACTCGTTCTTGGAAATTGAGCGCCCAGGATTCTACGTATATACACAACATGTAAGTTGAGCAACCAACATTCAACTTGAGAAACTAAAAACCAACTACTCCTCCCAGTTGTAATTTCAGTATTCAGTACTCGGCGTTATATATAAGTGTGATCATCTTTTACAATAGTCCGATATGTTAAAAAGATATTGAACTTGTATTAGACGCGATGGGTAGTGAATAACCGCCGTCACGGATAAACTTCATTGTTGCGAAATCTTGACCCCGTTGTACGGACAGCGTTGTCCGCCAAAATGTATCTGACGTATGTCATAGGCTGACGTAACAGGCAAACCACTGCAGGGGTTGTTTCTAGTCTCTGGTCTCCCCTTTTGCCTTCTTTTGCACAACCTAGATAGCGGCGTCTGTTGCCGGCCACTGTCAGAAAGATATTTAGAGGAACATTTTCATTAAATACTCCTAAATCAATAAGAGCAATAAGGAGCTCAACAAAGTTAAAGACTGTTAATAGTGTTATTAAAAAAGCTAATTCAAAAGTTGTAACCAAGGGAGGAACTACGCGCCCCAGTCCAACAGGCAGAACAGGTCCAAAGCCTCACATTATCCTTACAAAAAAAGCTGAAGTTTTAAAATCATTGCCTTAAGACCAATCAAGAGTGAGACACATCGCAATTCTTCATAGTTGATGTAGCTTCAGTTTAAGCTGCAATCCATTCTTCGAGATCTGATCACTATTCTTGGCAATTTTCATCTTGCTAAAGACGCTAACGTGCTGGGCCCAGCGTGACAGAACATTGCAGGAAACCTTCACATTTACCATGATTTACGGACAAAAATACAATCTTTTATAATTTTTCAGATCCAGGAGGCACTTTGGATAAACTTAAACAACCTAAAACCATCATTTAGCCGCATAAAGGGCTTTACATTTCAAAGGGAGGTCAAAGAGAACGCTCTTGCATCACAGGGCAAATAATGTCGACCAGAAACAATAATAAACCGCAGAAAATCAACATGCGTGCCACGACCTCTCAGTATGAAATACAAGTGGTAAAAATCACATCGATTGTCAATATTAAGCATATTTCTGAGCGAAGACAATTGCTATTCTTTACATGATGTTTCGGAACAGAGTGACGAAGCGCTGCCCAAATTAGGTAGTTAATCTTGCTAATTTTATTCGAAATAATAGTAAAAGAATTTGTAGTGTCTAATTCAAACAAAAGATCATTTACGAAAATGAATTCTTGTTCAAAAAGTTTTTTTTTGTTATAGAAAACAGGCTTATTATCAACGCGTATCTCTTTGTTATTCCACAAAATATATTGACATTCCCTTCTACTATCGAAAACACTACGAAACTCAGACCACCATTGAAGTAACTCCGAATAGAATTTAGAGGAAATATGTATCTCTTTCATGTCATAATTACAATGAAATAAAAAGAGGCCCCCAGTGAATACTGAAATTGCAAAGTTGGTTACTCAGCTTACATGTTAGAATTAGAATTAGAATTTTCAAGAACAAGTGATCATGTTACGCTGTAATAGTGCGGCTCATAAACACAACGTATTTCCTATGCATTTTTTAAAAAAATGAACTTGAACCTGCGATCATTTGAAAACTAGTAACTTGTCAGTGGATAACTTCAAAAATATGCGACCTCGATGGGTCAAACCTGAGCCCGCGATACGATTAGGTGATACTTGTTAGTGGATACCCTGTTTTGACAGCTGTCAATTGATCACAACATGGATGTGCAATATCAGGTTGCACCTGGGCTCCCAAACTAGCTAGAAATTGTGAGATTAAACATTGGTTGCCCTGTGGTGCGGACCGACGGTCGGTCGGTGTACGGTCACGTGATTACCCATTACTACCATGGACCTTAGTTTTTCAATGATTTGTAAGCCAATAAAGCCTTGTTTTGAAGTCTACGGTTGTAAAGCGTGGTTTTCTTCTCTTTCTTCGGTGGAAATTTGCTGTTACTGGGTCTAATCGGTGGGCAGATATACTTGCACACTCTTTAGAGCTCTCTTATTCAGAGCTCTCCCAGTTCATCAAAGTCGCTTGTAAGACAAAAGTGGCATAGAAAAATGGGCAGCTAAAGTTGTCCGGCGCAAAGAGTGATGAGAGGGGAAAACAGGCTAAGACGAAGTCAAAGGCTGGTCATTGCCATGTGGCGACCCTAGACCAGCACCAGTCGCAACAAAAATGCAGATTTGCAGCCGAAATTCGTATCCGTTGCAATTCTTTCAGCCTTTAGCCCGCGTAGCAGTCGTCGAAAGGGGTAGGGGATAGGGAAAAAGGGAAAAAGGGAGGGGGTATTTTCTCCCTCCCCCTCTCCCTCCCCTTTCCCTCCCCTGTTTGCGCCTGCCACGCAGGCTATTAGCTCTAGCCTATTCCTCTCATTATTTCCCTTCCGAATCGGTCAATTTATTCCGGACTTTAAACAGAGCGACAATTGGGCACTTAGGCGAGGGAGGCAAGGACAAAATTGCCCACCCCTCGCCCACCCCTGGTGCACTCCCAGTGGTCTTAGCGCCTAGTCTTTACCTCGGTTTACGATTAACGCCTGGACGATATTTTGTAAAATGGCGACCCACGATGATCAAGTGTGTGCGTATTCAAAAGCAAGAAATTCATGGCAGGCTCCATAATCATTCTCTTTTCACCTCTTTAGAGAGTTTTAAAATCTGGCCATGTGAACTGGAAAACTGAACGAGAATTTTATCGCCTGAACGGGCTGCGCGTCGACATTTTGGAGAGAAACAGTGGAATGTGCCAACTGGGTAAGTGGTCATATTTTCGCGTAAAGAGAAGAAACTTCTTTCTCCATCTCTTACTCTCTTATAGCATTTTGTTTACTCCTAAATGAGTTTAAGTATATACGTTGTCGAAAATTTCGTTAAGGCGAACTGAATTTCAAGGTCGGTCAGTATAAAAATGCAGACCGCAAACTTTAGACAGGATAAAAAAAGGCAGTTGTATTGAAGGTAGTACCCTGGTCCCAGAGGTTTTCCTCGAAATTTTTCTTCGTGGAAGAGAGAGCGAGCCGTGAAGCGGCGACAACGAGTGGCGAAGCAGCGAGGAGAGAGAGAAAAACCTCTTGTTACCTTACCTTACTTTAATGCAGATGACAAGGTCAGGATCTGACTCTCCGGCGCTGATTGGTTGATATGTTTTGAAACATGCAAATCAATATACGATTGATTCGTTTGACTGTAACTACTGAGGGGATGCCGAGGATATTTTTCACCTCATTTCTTTTGGTAAATTTTGCCTCCCCCTACCAGGGAAGAAAATTGTTTGTAAAATAAGTGAAAACTGCAAGGGGTGACAGGCCACACACCTTTGAAAACCTTTTACATATTGCCTTAGTGAGGAGAACTCTTTCATGGATTTTACACTTTAACAATTGAATGATGATATGGCTGGGGGGCAATGGTGGTGTAGTGATGAGAGCAATCCCCTCCCACCAATGTGGCCCGGGTCCAATTCCCAGGGTTGATGCCATACATGGGTTGAGTTTGTTGTTGGTTCTCTCCCTTGCTCCAAGAGGTTTTTCTCTGGGTACTTCGGTTTTCGCCTCTCCTCAAAAACCAACATTTCCAATTTCCAATTTGACCAGGAATCGAAGAACCACTATGTGGATGTGCTTCCTCCAAATCATTATTTATTTTATTTATTTTTTTATATTTTGAGGTTTACACGATCTCAGAGTACAATGAGCAATGAGTAGCTTTACTCTGTATGCATCCTTTAAATATATCCAGAACTGGTTTTGGGTATCACGTCTTTGGTAGAAGCATGATTTAAATACCCTATGATGCTGTGTCCTTGAATGTCAGTTTATAACCCAATCGCTTCAGTGTAAATGTTACTTCTGTTTTCTTCTGAAAGGCTTTAGCCTCTCAAACAAAGTGGTCGAGACACAACATCCAGAAAATCTTTCATGCAGCACTTCTGTCATTTTCTGTGCAAGTGGTACTCTGCCAACTGAATTCTTAGGGCCTTGTTACATTTTTCCCATAATTTTTTCAATTGCTCTAACACCCTCGAAAATTGCAAAACTTCTCGTTGGCACTTCTGGCAGATTATCTGCGATACTCCCAT